GCTGTGCTTCACAATCTGCAGAGGAAACTGAAGATGATACCAAGTTTCCTAATTAAAATGAAGAAGGCAATCATTTGGACCACAATTCTTGAAATAGTTTTCTAATCTCTGCCTGATTTACAATTATTATGAAATGTTGCCCACACTGGGCACAGTATGGGTGAGTAACTACTAAGGGTTATTCAGTATTTTTCACAACAGAGCAGCACCAGGCTCTGCAAAGCAGGCCAGAACAGACCTCCTTCTTGAAAAAAGCTTGTTAAAGCAACTCTCCTTTCTTTTAATGACAAAGAGTCTAATAGGATTTTCTTTTTATACATACAAAGTCTGCCAGAGCAGACTGAAAATTGTACTTTAAAGTTTCAGATAACATTTCTACTTTGCATGCATTCAGCTTTCTAAATTGAAGAATGTTTTAATTCAATAAATAGTTAACTAATAATTTATAATGCCTGTGATTGAAATTTTCAGGTTTAATATAATCAGTACTAATACTAAAATACTTCATACATATACTTGTATTTTATTTACAGAGGATTTCATATGAAGAAAAAGCAAAATTAGTGAAGTTAATATTTTCTTTTCTTGAAGTAATGAACACACTCTTTAAGAGAAGAACATAACCTGTTTTATGTGGCTAGGTAGGAAACAAGCACAAACCACTTAGGTTATCTCCCCAAGGTGCTTGCTAGAGATTTTTTATTTTTTTGTCTGGAGTGAGACATCAGAATTCTTCTGTTTGGGAGCTGATTGGATTATGTTCATTAGTTTATGATCATCCCAGAAACACACTCATAAATCTTACTGCAATGCCATTAGAATAAGATGTTCTGATTATGCTTTATTAAAGCAGATGCTACCATCTGCAATGTAGAGGAATAAAAATATGATTCACTGCATTCAAGAGACACTTGGCAAATATCTTCCCCTGTCCAAATAAGATTTCTGAAATAAACTTTGGGTTGCAAATAGTGCAAATTGGAAATAAAATTCCTTTTTCCTTTTGTATGAGCAGTACATACAGAGGAAAGGAGGCAACACCAGCAAAGTCAGCTCTGAATGCAGAGACCAACCAGACTTGTTTTCAGAGGAGGACAAGGTAAAACAGGAGCTCCCATACTCTAAGTGCTGGAAATCCAGATTAGAATGCAACAGCTTAGATTTATCTTCACTAATTACTTTAACTGGCACAAAATCTGTTGATCTGAAAGAGTATGAAGACCTAAGCAGCAAGTGAATCATTCCCTGTGAATATTCATACACTTTCTGCTGCTCTGATGGAAACAACACTCAGTGAGCATTGGATAAGCAAGACCTGGAACAGAGGCATCCTTTGGACCTGTCTTTTCCTTGACTTTGAGTGTTCAGTCTGATTTCAGCCTCCAAATCAATGCAAGGATTCACTGAAGGAGAATCAGCTGATCTGTTTTCTCCAAATTCACATCTGCTTCAGGAAACCACCATCAATTTATCACCATTTCTTTGGGTGATATGCCAAGGGCTTCTCATACAATCACCAGTTCATACTTGCAACTTTTTGGAAGACAGATCCATTATTTACCATTCCTTGAATTACACAATCTGGTCATATCAGGCTTCTTATCTTTACCCCTCTATAAAGTGCTCTATTTTAACCTGTGTTCAGTCCTCAACTTTTATCCTCAGCTACTTCAGAGTTAACCTGGAAAATCTGACTAAACAGAGAAACACAGAATATATTTTATATATTGCATACACAGAGTTGAGAAAGCCATGGTTCCTCATTTGTTTGTTGATGATCTGACAGAGAAATAAAGCCCTGTCTTAGGCATTTGAATATACCACATTTTCCTTTTTGATCTGTATGAAAATATACAGCTCTTTCCCCTCAGCAGGTTTCAGTCACAGGTTTTGCAGAAATACTAGTGAACCACAAAATAGCCATAAAATCTTGCTGTACAGGTTATCAAATTAGAGTTTAAAACCCAGGTTGTGCTTAAAATCCTCTAAACCACTACACTGGAACTTGGCAGGTGCACATTATAAACACAAATTGACCTAGACTGGCAACAGTGCCATCAGGATTTACTTTTTCAGAAAGAAATTATCCTTGTAATTTAACTGCTTTGTTCTCTGCATCAATGAATTACCAGATAAGAGCAAAGTGCCATTAAGAAATGGTTTTATAGCAAATAAACACATGAAGATGGAAACAAAAAAGGTAACTGTAATGTTACAAGGTCAGAGAGGCTTGAAATAAAAATGTCACAGGCAGAGGAATCTAGCTATAAGAAAAAAGCACCATTATTTTGTTGCTTAATGTGCATCTATGTAAAAGAAGAACTAAAATGTTGTAAAGGTGGGAGAAAGAAGAAGGAAAGAAATCCAACATGCCTCGGGTTATCAAAGACTTCACCTCAGAGCTGGTGCCTAGACAAAGTTAAAGAACAGATTGAGGAAAGGTGGGACACTCAGTTTCTTCATCTTCAAAGCCTCAGGTGAGTTGATAGCTCTGAACAGACAAAACCAAACTGGGGAAAACTTAAGGAACTTAATTTACTGCTCAAACTTTCCAATTCTCAGGGTATTGACTAAAGCAAAGTTATTTCATACGTCTCTACAGAACTCTGGTAACTGATCAAGTGTCCCTCCAGGGACATCCACTGCTGCTAAACCCTCTTGAGTAGCTTAGGAGATTTTCAAGGTTATACCTGGAGAGGTTGAAGTGATCTCTGGGGATGGGGTGGCAAATGGGAATGAGAAACATCTCCAGAGACTGGAGTGATGCAGCTTCACTGATATCTGACAGTCCTAATCTACTGCCCTAGACAATGTCATCTTCTGCTGTATTGGCATTTCCACACCCTTGGGTATTTCTGGAGAACACAGAAAAAAAAAAAGCTTTTCTTTGTACAGCATGTTCAATGATTTTGCACCCACACTGAGTGATCATCATCATAAAACACATTTCCTTATTTATCCTTCTCTGCTTTGATAAACTAAATCATCACATTATAGACTTCTAAAGCAAGGAGGAGGTTTCATCCTATTGCTGTAAATGTCTTTTCTGGGGAAGGGAGCAGGAGGAAGGTGGATTTTTTTTGCTAACAAGCAGAGTCCTATTGAGACCCTGCTTTACCTGTGTGAACACAGTCCTTTGCTAATCTTACCAGGTCAAGGCTGCCTGAGCTCAAACAAATCCTTAGCTGCAGGGAAAACCAAATGAGTTTCTGGTCTGCCTCTGAGTAGCCTAATAAGAGTGAAAGCAGTGTCTGGGGATGAGTGCCTTGTAGGGTTTTGTGGGAGTTTGTTTGTTTTGAGGAGAGAGACCAGAAAGAGGCAAACAGGAAACAAGTGAGGTAAATGAGGGCTGGAAGCAGAGCTGCACATGGAATAACAAAGATATGGCTCACAGTCTCTTGTTCTGTTTCATTTTCTCCTCTTTTGCACCCACAGGACATTGTCCCTCTGCCTTTCCTGCCTGTGTGCTGACACAATCAGCATGTTGAGGAAGGTGATTATTAAGGTCTCCATTCTACTCTTGTCCATCTGTCCTCCTCCTATGCTCCATTCCAACTCTCTCTGCCACACAGAGTCACATTTTGCTGCCTCAGAGCCTGCATGGTCTGTCTGGAGAAGGCATGACTCAGTGCAACAATCATGGCACGAAAATGGGAGAATGGATTCAAGAACCCAGAGAGCACTTCTGTGGTCTCTGCCTACACCAGAACATTCTCCCTTTGCTAGACACACCCCCTGATCCCTTTTCCACACTGCTGATACCACACGAAGAAAGATGAAGTGAGATCAGATACAGGAGGAGTGAGGGGAAGATAACTCTTATTATCTCACCTTTACCTATTCCTTCCCTACCTCCTTCCTGTCTTCCTTGTTTATCTGCATGCGGATAGGGCTGCTGGAGTGAAACCAGGATGGCAGCAGCAGAAAGTGCCCTCTGCACCATTCCTCTAATCCCCCTGCTTCCTGGGATGGGAGATGAAAGCAGCCAGGGAACAACACTCCCAGCCCAATTCCTACCACATTCCAACTACACAGACTAACCAGTTTCTGCCCCCTTCCTTTAATTTGGGCTTCCCATAGGGCAGAGTCCCAGATGGGTGACAGATAAGCTGCTGGATGTTTTGTCAAGACATTTGATTACTACCTGACTCAGGTAAATAAAGCATTTAAGCTTTCAAAAGTGATGCTAACATTAGTTCAGAAGAGTTACAGGCAAGTCATGTGTCTTTAGAAGAAAAAAAAACTTCAGCAGTCGGTGATGAGACCAGTCTTGAGTTATCCCTCAGCCTAAGTCTTGTTACTGTGGACTTGAAATTATTTTAAACGTTACAGATATATTATTACATTTCATTCTTTTCACATATTCTGGTACCAAGCTATACCTGTCCTCAAGACAAAGCAAAGGCTCTTTTGAGTTCTCCCTCTCTTTAACTTACACTGAGTTTCCTTCAGGTTCAAGAGGCCTTTACAATTGTTCTCAACTGGAATCATGAGCAAGTGGTGGAAAAACCCATATCATTTAAAAAAGAACAACTCATATTTGCTTATGTTTGTCCCAGTTTGACCTGTCACTTTCCTAGTATACCAAGTTTTACTCCAGGTATTTCCCCATAAGAAAGATAGAGAGAAATGTAAAGATTCATGGTTTCAAAGTTCATACAGCAGATAAAAGTAAAAACTAGGAACACAGGCAAAGTCAATAAATGAACATGAAAAGTTGGAATTCTGCTTTCTTTACTCTCCCACCTGCTCTTTCCGCATCTCCATAGAAGTTTCAGAATTAAATCTTTTATGCACTTTTTCATATACTCCTTAAAAAAAAAAACAAACAAACAAACAAACCCAACAAAACAACTCCAGAAAAGTATCCCTCAGTGAATCCCCTCTTTCCACAACCTTAGAATTCAAAATCTGAAATTGCAAATGACATTTACATGCAAATCTTCAAAAGCACACACATTGCACTACACCCACACACAGTCAGACCCGCAGCTGCTGACCTTCCAAAATGATATTCAGCATCCTCTTCTGCCCCATGCACAGCTGAGAAAGGACGATGCAGGTAGGAGGGTGGTTCCTTATCCTTCTTGCAAATGTTAGGAGGAGGTGTTTTTATCCCAGCAGCGCGGTCCTCGAGCACTAGCCCATGGGACTGGGGATCACTTGACATCCCCTCACCTCCCTCATCTCTGTGCTGCTCGAACAGCCAGCTTCATCTTCCAGCTCCTTTTTCCTGAACACCCTTCAAACGACCTCCTTTTCACCGCTGTGACACCCGCACATACCGCTTTTTTTATAGTTAATTGTCAAAGCCTGGGGAGGGGAAGGAGGGGGGCTCCCACCTTAGAGAGCTCGGCTGCAGCTGGGTGTCATCACCGACAGCGCTTGCTGAACCCCCTGCCCCACGCCAACAAAGCCTTTTATTTACCGACCTGCCTGTCCAACTGGACTTTCGGAGCTTTGCCCGCCGCGAGAATAAATATTTACCTTCCAGGAGCCGCGTCTGTTTAAAAGCCCCGCTCCCGGCGGGATGGAGCGGGGCGAGCAACAGGCGCGGCTGCGGCCCCAGCTGACCTGGTCCTGGTCCTGGTCCTGGTCCTGGTCCTGGTCCTGGTCCTGGTCTTCTTCCCGATCGTGCCCGGCGGTGCCTCTGCAGCGCCGGGACAGCCGGGACCGCTCTCCGCCGCCTCCCGCACCGAGGGCTCGGGCGGCTGCAGCCAGACCTTCCCAGGCAGCCCGATCCCGTTCCAGTCCCGATCCCCGTCCCTTTCCGATGGCGATCCCGTTGCCGATGCCAGCCCGGCTCGGCCGCGCTCGGGGCCGCCCCCGAGTGACGGCGCCCGGCGCTCCGGCCCCCCCGCGCGGGCAGGTGCTCCAGGGAATTCCTGCGCTCAGGGAATTCTCCGCACAGCGTTTGCCCCCCTCGCTATTGCTGGAATCGAAAGTATGTTGTTTTAAGAAGTGGTACCGCGCGTACTTTTTTTTTTTTTTTTTTTTTTTTAATGAGTTTTCCTGCGCCCCGGGGTTTTTCCAGGTTAACACAGACATTGTAGTGTTGACTGAACAAACACTAACTGCTCCAAAGATTGAAAAATCAGGCGTTTGTCTACTTAAAGCACTTCTCACTTTAATTCTCTTAGTAAAATAACAGCACAGTTAGTTCATATTGTTGTAACTATTTCATATCACCTCCCTGTTAACTGCTGATTAAAAATCAGCCTCTAATGCTCTGTTTATGGCTGAAAAAATCTCTAGTGCAGGAAGGCTGCAAGCACACAAACATTAAACAAAAACTCATGAAGTGTAGCTTTTTCTTCCGTTTCTAGAGATTCCAGGATCACTCGTAGGAATATGAAAACTGCTGTGAGTTTTGGTCATTGGGAGTTCCCTGGTCACTTGGGACGCCCGGCTGAGCAAAAATCTGATAAAGGGTTTCTGTTGAGCAAAGGGGTCGCACAGCCCTTTCACAGCAGCTGAGTGCTTCTGGGGATGTCAGCTTTCTGTGGAGCTGGCTAAACAAAAGTCACTGCTTAGCAGAAAGTGAGATAAAGAGATTCCAGACACATATACAACACAATTAACGCACACTTTTCACTCTTTGTGGAGTGGTTGTACTTCAACCACTACAGTTTGCTGTCTTCCTTCTGACATGGTGATGTCTTTCACCTAAATAGTTTAAGCATGTCTTAATTTTGTTTAAATTTTGTAATTTTGTCACTTATAACATTTCTCCTCAGTTTTAGAATCTCTTTTTGCCTAGAATTATCTTCCAGTGTATTTGGAGTGTTAAAACTTGTTCCCTGTTACCAGCTGAGCCACTCTCTGACCTTGGGAAGAATTACATGTTATTTCAGTTTTGCTTTAAACTTACACAAAACACCAAGGCTATGAATCACATACCAGATATTCCAGATAGAGGATTGGACCTCATGTAGAGAGCAGACATGCTCAAGGTGGGAGAGAGAGAGAGAGAGAAAATGGGAAGTGAAGTAGAATGCCTTTGAAACATCTCTGAACATGCTAAAGAATAATTTAACCTGGCAAAGATCCACGGACTGTGTGTTAATTCAGCTTTTGAATTTCTTGTGTTTTGTCTCAATTTTGAGGTAGTCCTCTTAAATAGGTCATGTAGAGGAGCGGTGAAAATTGCACAGGTTGATAACATTTGCATCTTTCATAATACTGATACCAAAAATTATTGGGCAGCACTGCTTGTTGAGTATTGCTCGACCGTTTGGGAAAGCGTCAGTGGAATTTAGAACAATCTGGGCAAAACTCAGTTGAAAACAGCCCAGTTTCCCCTCCTTTTTCCCAAGGTCTAGGACAGGTGTCTGGACAACTTTGCACATGATAGAAGCAGCACCTGGGAGCTCATTGACCCCGTGATGCAGGGTTCCTCCAGTCCTGTTTATTCCTGGCCTGGAATTGCCAAGCCCCTGCTGGTACATGCTGTTCTCCAGTTTCTCTGGGAGAAGCAGTGCCAGGCAGGGCCTGGGAAGGCGAGCATGGCCTTGCCCCAGTGCAGGGGAAGGGCCTGGAATGGGGAGGCAATTACTGCCACTCCCTTGGGAAGAGCAGGTAGGAGCAGAGGGAGGCTGAGCACAGAGCACAAGCCCCTGTCAGTTCGTGGGTCGTGATTTTACAGCTCTGCTTTTTTACTGTTTGACATAATATTGCTGCACCACCAGAGAGGAGAGAGAATCTTAATTCTGGGCTCCCTTTATCTTGCTGGTCCTGTCTATCCTGTTTACTCTCACTGTAATAAGTGTGTTAGTTCTGCACCTTTCTCAGTGCAGCGGGTTCCAGGAGCACTCCCTCTGCTGTGCTGGCCTCTTGGCTAATTACCATTCCAGAAGTGCCCCCTTCAATGAGAGTGGTCTGTGTCTTTGCTGCAGTGGTGCAGACCCACGACTGTCACAAAGCTGGCATTGTGCTAAGTCTTTGCCTCTCTTATGTAACAATGGGGTTTATTCAGGGAGAGCAGAATCATCCTTCTCGGAAAAGACCCACGAGAAAAACAAGTCAGGAGCCCCACAGCAGAGCACTGCTGGACATGGCTTTACCAACCAGCTTCATTGCTTCCATCTCAAAAAACAGATTTATCTGTGAGATCTCACAGTTTATCCTAATGAGATTTAATCATCAGGGTTTGTTCTTATGTTCTTAAATCTTACTGAGCAGACCTGACCAAGTTTCTCTTCCTTGGTGTCGCAGTCACATTTTTGGCAATGCTGAGTTTCAGTTCAGGCTGCATTCCTGATCCTGCAAGTGTGCCTGGCTGGTGCTTAGGCTGATGCATCCAGGGGTTCTTTCCTTGTGCTGCTTGCCCTGTTACTGGATTGTGCAGAAAAGTGGCAAAATGATCATAGTCCCTGAAGGGTAAGGGCCAAAACAGCCTCTGAGATGCAGGCTCCAAATGGCTGTGCTCCCTGGATAGAAACTCGTGGTTCTAAGGCAGGAAATAAAAAATCATCTTTTGATACATCACTTTGCAGCATGTTCCAAATTGCTGTTATATTTGCTGAAAGGTTTTTATGAAGCTGTAATTTTCCTGTTTATGAAGGACAGTAAATTAGTTGCAGCTAAAGTAGTCTGAATTCAGTCCCAACCACTTGGATACTTTGGTAGCAATTTGCTCAAGAATTCTCACAAGATTTCACATCCTTCTTTATGAAATCTTTTCTCCAAGACTACAATAAATGTTAGTCACAGTATGGTTTCACTGCTTCCCCCAAATCACAGTCCTCATATGCTGCAGGCTGGGAAACATCAGCATTAAAACAACAAATAAACATTATGATGCAAGACAGTGAAAGCTGCAATAGTTGGTAACCTTTTTTTTTTTTTTTTTTTAAAAAAAAGTGACCCACTGGAACATTCAGGGATTTCCTTTCCTGTAAATGGGGATAAATCAGCTTCAGACAGGAAATAAGGTGTTGGAGAATCCTTCCCCATGGCCTCCATGCAGCTAACCCATCATGTCTCACTAGAAAGTGTAGCCTGCTTTATCTTCAGCTGAGATTCGTGGCCAGTCACGTCACCAATTTCCTCTGGCACAGCCTTCTCTTACCCTTTGAAAACTTCCTTTTTTTAAGTAGTTAAGGTATGCCTGTAATTTATTTTATTTGGTGGAATGACTTCAAAATATTCAAGTTGAGAGCTTTAATAAAGATATTTTGCCTCTGCATAAAAGTAGAAATCCTGCATTTAGAAAATACAATATTGAGATTTTGCAGATTAGCTAGAGTTACTTGATACAAAAACAGAACTTTTTTTTTCTCCTCTGTCACCATTTAGCAGAACACGATAGAGGTCTTCTTACTAGGACAGACATGATGCAGCTAAAAAAAATCCTTAATATGTAGATGGTTTTGCCAGAGAGAACTAGTTGAGCAATTTGGGGTTTTTTCGCCAATCTTTCCTTTTTCTTCCAGAAGCTTTCATTCATACATGCAGTCCTTAAAAAAAGCCTTTCAGGAGAGTATTGTGCCTTTCGCTGAGCATTTAAAAAAACATTTTAGCAAGCCATTAATGCGGTTGCTTGCTGCAGCTGAAATTCCGCCTGAGACAGGTGGAATTGTCCAAATTTTGGTGCTGCTGCTGCAAGGACCTGGCGCCATCTCGTGTTCAGCCTTTAAATTACCCGCGAGTTTTTGGGGGAGCGCTCGTTCTTGCCCCTCCCCCGTAAACACAGCCTCCCCATGTGGAGGCATTTTAAAAATTCTGGGGTTAGCAAGCCTGCCCTAGTAAATAAAGAGATGAGGGGGGAAGCTGCAGTCTTTTTAGGCAGGCACAGCTGTTTCTAACATCTGCATTTGCTCTCACCATCAGGCAGCTGGGGAGATACAGGATTTATACCGCGTGTGGCTGAATGCATTTGTGTGGAGAACACAGTCCCGCACGAGCTGGTGTTCCAGCTCCTTCCACGAGATGATGTTCAGTCGTGGGATTTGTTTCAGTCACAACGCTTTAACAAATGCCTAAATTTGCTGTGGGGGGAAAAAACCCCACATGCTAGAAAGTCTTGTGAGCTACAGAAGGTGTTATCAAGCTGTTTCTTGACTGAAAAGATATCTCTGGTCATATTATCTCTGGTCATATTATCTCTTCAGGAAATCTAGCCAGTTTTTTTGTTTTTTTTTTTTTTTTGTGAAGTATTTCTTATTTTTTAAAATACACACAAAATCCTCTAGCTTCAAACACCGGGAGAGGCCACAACAGAAGAAAAACTCTGAGTTCAGCTTACCTGCAAGCTCGGAGGCAGGACACAAGCTGGGCCTCTGCTTTGTCTCTTTCCCTGATGGTGTCCTTGCTCACCTCTGTGTGTCAGGGTGGTGGTGGCTCTCTCACAGTCCTTTCCTCACAGCCCCACACCCAGCTGCAGCAGGTCATGCCTTCTTTTTGGCTTTGAGGCAGACCTGGGGCAGCTCTGGCTCAGCCCCTTGGTGCTGTGATGGAACAAAGCACCCTGTGCTGGCTTAGCTGCAGGAATGAGCTGTGGGCTGGGACTTGTCCCAGCTCTCAGGCAGGCAAGATTAGCCTAAACCCCTTTCATCTAACCCCAACAGGAGCCAGAGCGGACAAGGTCAGCTCCTGGGGCTCAGCTGACACTCAGGAGCTCTCTCACGTGCCCAGGCGCTGTTTGTTCACTGATCAGCTCTGCTCTGGTATTCTCTGCTGTTTGCTGAGATGTGGCTTCATCTCACAAGAGGTGAGATGTGTTTGCTGAGATGTGGCTGCATCTCACAGGGCACGGATGGTGCTTTCTGTGCAGATTAAAGAGCGGCCAGTT